TGAACAAGGGCACAGGCACACACGCAGAGACAGACACACACACAGACAGACACACACAGAGACACAAACACCCATAGAGACAAACAGACACACACACACACACACAGACAGACATAGATACACACAGACAGACACACAGACAGATAGACACGTACACAGGCACACACACCGCATAAAATTGCAGAAAGCAAGCAGGAAAGGCAGGGGTTAAGAGGAGAGGAGGGAAGGAAATAAATAAATAAATGGATGCACTTCAAAAAGGCTGAAAAATAAAAACGCAGGTCTGGGCTGCAGCGATGACAGCATGAGCTGAATGTGTCCTCGCTCCTCGTGTGTCAGTACATGTGCCTGGCCTGACACAGCTGTGTGCCAGGTGCACGGTCCCTGCTGGGCACCCCACAACTGCTCCCTGTGCAGCCCCGGCAGCCCCTTGCTGGCCTCTGCCCCCTCAGCTGGGAGCAGGGGCGGAACGTGCTGAGGAGACAAAGTGATTCATTAGAGCTGCTGAATATGCAGATCAGCTGGGGCTTTCCCAGCAGCCCTCTGAGCGCTGGCAAGGGCGCTGGGTAAACTCTGAGCTGAGATCTGACTGGAATTCCCTCCTCACACCTTTGTCAATTAACCTGAAATTTAAAGAGTTGAGTTGCTCATTCATTAACAGGCTTCTGGCTAATGAAAGCATCCGCGTTCAGCTGTGTACTAATCATTCCTTCTCTCCAAAAGGCAAGCCTGGGGGTGTGTGGGGTGGAACTGGAAAACCAAGGAAGATCTGCCCTCAGACCCTGGGCCCTGGTAGTGGACACCCGGCTCAAGGGGTAGAGAGTTTGCCTAGCATGGACAAGATTCCATTCTGCCTCCAGCACTGTATAAAACTAGGCATGGTGGCTGTGAAGCAGAAGCAGAAAGACCAGGAGTTCAAGGGCATCCTTAGCTACATAGTGAGTTTGAGACCAGCCTGGGCTACATGGGACTCTGTCTAGAAAGAGTGTGTGGGTGGGTCATGGGAACTTCCCATCTTTGACTCAGTTCCTTCCCTAATCTTCTGTTAACTGTGCTAATTAAGAAAAGGAATATGTACTGAGGATTTAGCTCATTGGATAGAGAGTTTGCCAGCATGCACAGGCCAAGGAGTCTACCCCAAGCCCTGAATAAAACCATGAGATGGGATAGAATTGCAAAAGCAAGAAAGATCACAAAATCAGTCATGGCAACACATAGAAGCAGGAGGATCAGGAGTTCCAGGTCATTATCCTCAGCAAGCATGAGGCTAGCCTGGTGTACATGTAGCTCTGTCTTAATAGAATATGTGTGGAGTGTTGAGCCCAGCATTTAGTTTTACTTCCTGGTTTTTCGTGCTGGCAGGGTTAATTGCGTGCGGAGCACCTATGTTCATGTGCACCTCAGTGTAAAGGCCAGAGGACAACCTCCCCTGTCCTTCAGTCACCCATCTTGCCTTCTGTGACAGGGTCTCTCATTGGCCTGGAGACTGCCAAGGAGGCTAGGCTGGCCATCGAGTCCCAGAAACCCATCTACCTCTGCCTCCTCGGCTCCGAGGTGACAAGCACAAGCCACCAGGTCTGGTTGTTTTTCACCCGGCTTCTGAGAATTCAGCTGCCTTCCTCAGGCTTGTAATCCAAGCACTGTACTGACTAAGCTGGAGGCTGGGCTGTTTATTGTTGCATTGAGATAGGATCCCATGGGGCCCAGGCTGGCCCCAAAATGAATATGTAGCTGAGGATTGCTACATGCCATACAGGTGCTGGGATAACGAGCAACTGACATCTGGCCCACCCCACGCTGGGGGCGAAGCCAGGTCCTTGCGCACGCTGGGCAAGCCCTTTGCCAGCTGCGTGCCAGCTCCAGAGAGATTGCTTCTCCCAATTCCCTAAGCAGTGACCATTCACCCAGCATTTACCGTGAGTCCCCTAATATAAGTCGCCAAGACACGATTTATTCACCTGCATTTATTTACTTGTGGTGCTGGGAATGGAACCCAGAATCTCGAGCATATCAGGTGCCTGCTCTACAGCAGAGCCACACCCCAGCCCCTTATTTCACGGTGGGAGGGTCAAGGTAGAGCCTCTATCCATGAGTCTGTGCCTAACCCATTAAAAAAAGAAGAAGAAATTATTCTTTTTTAGGGTTGGATTCAGCAGTTAGGAACACTGACTTATTTCCAAAGGTGTGTTTGATTCCAGCACCCTGAAGTGACCCAACCCCCAACACACACACACACACACACACACACACACGTTTTTTTTAGAGGAAGGGTCTCACTGTATATCCCTGCTAGCCTGGAACTCAACTATATTGACCAGACCAGCTTTGAACTCACAAAGATCCACCTGTCTCTGCCTCCCAAGTGCTAGCATTAAAAGCATGTGCCACCATGCCTAGCCAACAAAAATTTTAATTTTATTGATTTATTTATTGCAGGAATTGGTTCTCTCCTTCCACCAGTTGTGTTCCCGGGATTAAATAGTCGTCAAGCTTGGCAGCAGCAGGCACTTACCCACTGAGCCACCCCTGAGCCCTTTACTTCTGTGTCTATAAAATGTCCAGCAGAGGTGGATCTTTGGAAACAGAGACTAGCGAGCGAGGCTGCCCTGGGCTGGAGAAGAATAAGCAGTTGCTCGTGGATACAAGATCTTTTTCCTGGGGTAATGTGAACATCCTAAAATTGTGGTAATGGTATGACAAGTTTGAATTTTGCTAAAAAACCACTTAATTGTATATTTAAAATGAGTGAATTGCATGTTATGTAGTTCATAATTCCACAAGGCTGTTTCAAAAACCTTCATCTTAGCCGACACTATACCAAGCCTCGCGTTGCACACGCTAGGCTCAAGCCCCGCAGGTCCCCGTGGCAGCTCACCCCACCAGTGATATCAGCCTCATCGTAACTGAGATGGGTCTCGCTTCGTGGCCCAGGCTGCTGTCAATCAAAATCCTCTTGCCTTGGTCTCACTATAGGACTTCGGATCTTAGTACAACTGATGCCATGTCAGAGGCACCGTTCTGACCTTAGGACCCAGCACGCAGGCCCCAACACCCATCAAAAGACTACAAAGACCTACTCCATCAAAGACCTGGTCCACAGTCCCGGGGACCAGGAACATCCCTAAATGTACTAATGTTGCTTTTTGCCTTCTGTAGTTCTGCTTCTTGATAACTTGAGTGTACCAAGCAGGATGTGTACTTTTGTACATCAAAAAAAAAAAAAAAATCAAAGAGCTGTGAGGATCGGAGCTGCATGATTTCGTCAAGTCACCTATGCAGCCACCTCCAATGCTATGCCACCATACTTGGCTGTGAATTCCACTTGTGTGTGTGTGTGTGTGTGTGTGTGTGTGTGTGTGTGTGTGTCAGTGTGTGTGGACCATGAAGCATGTGTGGAAGTCAGAGGACAGCTCTGTGGAGTCAGTACCCTCCTTCCACCTTCACATGGGTCCCAGGAATTAAATTCAGGTTCTAAGCTTTTGGTATGCCGAGTGCCTTTGGCCACTTGTCCGTCTCCCCAACCCCCCAATCCTACCCTTTCCCACCCACCATTCCACCTATAACTCAAGTGACCCTGCCTTAGCCCACAACAACAGGAAGCTGATCTCCAACCCCAAACATCTCTCATTTGCATCTTTTTTGAGGTGGAAGAATGAAAACGGAGAATCTTGCACAACGAGGCAAGCTCTACATTAGCTGCAGGCCGGCCTTCAGTTTCAGGTGAATTCACGCAGCACCTAGTTTCCAATTCCAACTCCCAGTTCAATGCTCTCCACTCCAGACTCACCCTGAACTGTCAGCAGACCTCACCCTCTGCTCATTTCACCTTCAACTGTCGCCATGTCCAGTGGGAACCCTTGGATCCATCCTTCCAGGCAAGCAGATACTTGAGGGCCTAATAACTGTCAACAGGGAGGACTCCGGCTCAGCTGCAGAGTGCTGCCCAGCATGCATGAAGCCCTGGATTCCGTCTCCACAAGGGCAGTACCCAGCTGTGGAGGCGCAAGCCGGGGATCCCAGCACTGGGAAAGTGGAGACAGGAGGATCAGGAGTTTGAGACAATCCCTGGCTGTGTAATTATTTCAAGGAAGACTGTCTTAAAAAAAAAAAAAAAAAGGCTATTTTCAGCTTCTACAGTTGGTTCTTGGATGTTTGAATCTTTTTGCTTTGTTTTTGGATCTTTGAGTTGGGGTCTCTCTATGTAGCTCTGGCTGTCCTGGAACTTGCTGTACAGACCAGGCAGACCCAGAACGCACAGAAATCCGCCAGCCTCTGCCTCCCGCAGACAGGGAGTAAATGCATACACCACCATTCCTGCCTGGCTTCAATCTTAAATTGTTATTTTTACATTTGAGTATGGGGGGCGGGGAAGCACAATGCGTATAAAGGTCAGAGAACAACTTGCAGGAGCTGGTTCTCTCCTGCCATGTGGGTTCTCGAGATTGAACTCAGGTTGGCAGTATTGGCCTCCATGATTTGTATCTTAAATGTCCCCCAAAGCAAGCCAATTGTGGTGGCCCAAGACCTTAATCCCAACACTTGGGAGGCAGAAACAGTTGGCTTTCTGAGTTTGAGGCCAGCTTGGTCTACAGAGGGAGTTCCAGGTCAGCCAGGGCTACACAGAGAAACCCTGTCTTGAAAAACCAAAAAATAAAGTTAAGCCAGTAAGGCGTTGCCACCAAACCTGAAGACCTGAGTTCAATCCCTCGAACCCACTTGGCAGAGGGCAAGAATTAACTCCTGCAAGTTGTCCTCCAACCTCCACACACATCCTCTGCCATCCACACACATCCTCTGCCATCCAAAGACATGCTCTGACCTCCACTCCACACACATGCTCTGACCTCCACACACATCCTCTGCCATCCAAAGACATGCTCTGACCTCCACACACATGCTCTGACCTCCACACACATCCTCTGCCATCCACACACATGCTGTGGCATGGCCCACCCCCACCTCCATCCCCAACAAATGAAACCTTTTAAAAAGAAGAGCACAGTTTCTTGGTTTATTCTTAAGATGCCAATTTTGCCCTGTGGCCTGGGGAGGAGGGGTGCACAGTGGACGAGGGAGGGTAGAGATCCTTCTGGAATCTCTCGTCATATCCCAGACTCCTTCAACAGGAAGCAGATTAAATAGACCACAGACCATTCATTCCCTTTTTCATACAGTTCCCAGTTATGAACAGGGCAGCACCATTTAGGATCCTGATTTGTGCCCAACAGCTTGGTCCCCAGGCTGCTTGGGGACATAGGAGTTGGGCAGAGCGGGGAGGGGAGAATGTGCAGAGCTGGGTCACGGAAGCAGAAGGAAGGCATATCTATCTCAGGGGCGGGAAGTCCTGCTTTGATCTTGCTTCACCTAGTACCAGAGAAAGAATAGGAATGAGGGGGAAGGGTCCCAGCCAGAGATCAGGAGGTATCCAGTGCTTAACTATGGGAAGGGGTAGCACCAAAAGGTGAAGAGGGCGTCACCGATGGAGGGACGAGAGGCAGGTGACGGGGCTTTCAGCAGCTCTGAGGAAAGAACAGACAGAGCTGCACAACCCTGGATCCAGAGTCCCTGGTGATCAATAGAACGGCCTCAAAGCCTCAGCACCAAGCAACCCCTTGTGGGGCTCCCTTCGACTTCCTTCCCACCTCAAAAATTCAGCTGATGAAGCAGATGGGGCCAAGTTCAAACCCAAACTTCTGGTTCGTCTGGCCAAAGTCAATGGCGGCCACATCCCACAGAGGCAGAAAACCCGCACGGGAAGAGCTGAATTCAAAGAGGGTCTTCGCCTGTCCTTTCCGGAGCTGGCCATAAGAGAGCAGAGAGGGTGAGTTAGAGAGAGGGTGAGGGGAGGCTTCCCGCTCCATCCTAGCCAGCCCCGTGGCCCCGTGGCCTTACCCGGCAGCCATCATGGGAGACCTTGACGGTAGCTGCTGTCGTCTGGTTGGAAGACAGCTCTTCCCAGTTGGTCCCTCGGAAGCGGATGGCGTACCTGTAGTCTCCCGTAGCTTCATCCAGCCAGGCCACTGAGTTCTGGCAGGAGTAAGTGAACCTCTGATAGGCGGCAGCACTCAGCAGCTTCAGGAACGTCAACTGGACCACGTTTACTGGGGAACCATCAGCATCCACATAGGAGAACTGCAATAGGGCAAGGTAGTGTGAGGGGCTTCATCCGCCCACGCTCCTGCTGAGGAGCATACCTCCCAGACTCGGTCCACCTGAAGTCCACCAGCAGACCTGACACTTCTCCCAAGTCTCAAGTAGCCCTAACTAGTCTCCAATTCCTGATGTAGCTAAGGATGGCCTTGAACCCCCGAAGTTCCTATTTATGTGATGCTAGGAATGGAGCCCAGGGCCTCATAGAGAAGTGCATGTCCTCATCTGTCTACCCTGTTAATCTCACACCCAAATTCCCACACCAGTTCCCACCAATTCTCATGCCGCCCTCCACGTCAGTGTTTGGCAACTCACCTTCTTCCCTCGGCGGAAGGTACTGTACCAGCCTCCAGGCTTTTCTTTGGACCAGGAGGCCAGTTTCACCTGGGGGAGGATGGGAAGGTCATCAGGAACCAAACCAAGGCCTCTCTGCCTCCTCATACTGGAAGTCGTGGATGGTGGGTGCCATAGGCGGCGCCCTTGGAAGGGCACAGCAAGGGGGGCTGGTGGGTGGGTCCACAGCCCCCTCACCCCCACATGAAACAACTCCTAGGGTTCTCTGTGGTGACTGGATACAACCCAGGGCCCTGCCCACACTCAAGTCCAGGGGACAGAAGGCTTGGTACTGCTAGAGAATGGAGCCCCGGGGCCATGCATGCTGTTTGGGCTTTGGGGATGGAAACCAGCCACTCCACCCCCATCCCCCACCGCCCCCTCCTGTACAGGCCTGGCAAGTACTGGGGATGAAACACAGAGCCTTGTGAATGTGGGCAAGTGTTCTGTTGCTGGGCAGCACCCTTGCCTGAAGGTATGGATTTAGGTACTCTACCACAGAATGTTACTTGACACAGGCAAGAGGGCTCTCACAGGTGGCCAGGGATGGAAGAGGTAAGAAAAAGACAAGACGGTTTCATTCACTCACCATCTCAAACTTCTTGTCCGGATGGAGACAGGTCTCACCTCCCGCCGTGAAGTTGCAGAAAACCTTGAAGGCATCTTGTGCGCAGCCCTGATTGGGGTCAATCCAGTATTCTCCTGCCAAAGAGCCAGACCCAAAGGATCAGTGGATACAAACGCTGCAATGCTCACCTGCCCTTCCCTGGAGGGGCCCAGACCTTACCATCTGGCAGGTGTGGGTGGTTGCGGTGAAGCTCGTGGCACGTGAGGCCTGGGCGCTCGGCTGTGCCTGGAGGTCGCTGCAACTGCTCCAGCTCCAAGCTCAGCGAATTGAGTGAGGCCATCACCTCCTCCAGGCCACCTTCCGGGGTGTCCAACACGGATCGGCGGCGCCTTCGCAGGCCATGTGGCTCAGCAGGGGGACCCTGGACTCAGAAGGGAGCAGGAACAAATGAGAGGAAGAGTCGGAGATGAGCAGAGAAGACAAACAATGGGAGGCAGACAGATTCAGAAGAGGAAGGAGAGGAACGAGAAGAGGAGGAGGACATGGGGAAGAGGGGGAGGAGAGAATGAAATAAGTGAAATAGAGATGGAGACAGATGGGTAAAAAGATGGAAATACGGGGTGGGGAAGATGGATGGAACAGAAAGAATCGAGGGAGATAAACCCAGGTCAGAGCCCACAAATGGCCTCACCGGGACTGCCACAACCCCCAAGCTCAGACTGTCTTCGAGCGACTCTTTTGAGTATTTGTTTTGATGCAGGGTCTCATGTACCCCAGGCTGGCCTCAAACTCACTATGTAGCTGAGGCTAACCTTGAACTCCTGATCCTGTTGCCCCCACCTCCCCAGTGTTGGAATAGCAGGAATGCACCACCATTCTCGATACTGTGCTCCTCCCAAGGCTTTCAAGGAACGGCATTTTTGAGCCACAGACTGGAATACTGCCCTGGGTTCTGAGGGACCCAACAGGAATACCCCAAGCCCGATTCTTGCCGTCCCCCAGATTCTGGGAACTCACCGGGGGCCCAGGAGGACCCGCTGGTCCAGGGTCTCCACGAGGACCAACAGATCCCTACGAGAGAGGTCACGTTGGAATGAATCCTGCCTATGGAGACTGGTTAGACCTGTTTCTACCAACACAGACGCACGCACTTACGCCTAAACATATCGGTTTACTTGCACATATGTGTATACACATGCATGTATAACTGTGCATACACACACCCGTGGATACATATAGACATGCACATGACCACTCTAGAGGCCTCCCAAGCTCCCACACGAAGCTTCCCACATTCAAATCCCCATTACGGCCCCCTGCTTTCCTCAACACAACCCCCACCATTCCTGACCCTGCATCCCTCCTCTAAACCAGCTCTTTCTGAATGTTTTTCTCCCTGCCCAGAGCAGGGCACACACACGTATACATGTGTCCACACTTTCACATACATGCGCGTGCAAACACACACACACACAGGGCCCAAGAAGAGACTCCCACTATCCGGTGCTAAATAACCCTAAGCTCTCTGTACTTCCTTCCCTTGTCCTCTGAAATCAACACACAGTCTCCTGCGAGCCACAGCTTCTTCAGCAAAGCTATTTCCTTTTACAGAAATCAAAACCCTCCTACAACGCACAGCACCTCCGATTCCAAAAATGCTGAACACAGGATGAGTGAGCAAATGAACAAAGGGAAGAGGCTGGAGGGTGGGGTGGAGAGGAGTGGGGAGCTGGGACGTGGAGGCCTGGGGCAGTGGCACTCACCAGAGACCCCTTGGAGCCCTTCTGTCCCAGAGGGCCCTGTGGGAAGACATAAGGAATATGTCCCAATGCCACCCGTCCCGGTGACCTCCCCATTCCACCAAGATCCCCACACTCACCAACACACCTGGGGGCCCAGGGTGACCTAATGAGCCAACAGGACCAGGAAGACCCTAGAACAGGGACATTGGGGTTAGCCCTGTTACCCAGACAGCTTTCTACACACCTCTAAAGCCACACAGACTCCCAACTCCTCTGGAAGGCCCTCAAGTGCCCACGCATAGCTTCCTACACAACAGTCCCCAGCTACAGGCCCCCATTCCCCTAACACAGCCCTCCCCCATCCGGAATCCCAAACCCTTCAACTGGCCCCCTTGAACACTTTTCCCCACCCCAGACAGGGCACACACTCACAGCGTCTCCCTGGGGGCCTGGCGGGCCCTGCACTCCTGGCAACCCCTGATCGCCTTTCTCCCCGGCCTCCCCGGGGGGACCAATGAGGCCTATTAGCCCGATGTGGCCCTGAAAGAGAAAGCATTGAGAAACAGACACGTTGGCTTTTTTCTTTTTCTTTCCTCCTGAAACCTGGGAAGGAATGAGTTGCGGGGCCAGGAAACGCCCAATTCTCCCAGGCCCCTGGCCAGGGCGGGAGGTAAAGGTGAGGGAGATGTGGGAACCACAGAGGGAAGGCTGTTTTACCTTCTCCCCCTTGAGGCCAGCATCTCCTTTCAGCCCTGGGAGGCCGGGTGGACCCTGGGAAAAGGTGAAGTCCAGTTTGTGAGTCCACGGGGAGGTCTACCAGGGAACCACCCGGTAAATGCGAGTGACCAAGGATGGGGGCCACCAGATAGTCAAGAGACAAGGGGGGTAGTGAGAAAAACAGGGGCGGGAGAGGGATGGCTGAGGGTGCCAGGGGTCAGGAACGGAGGGAGTGGTCAGGATAAGCCATCAATGGAGGTCAGCGCAGAGCACCAAGATGGGGGCTGCCATAGAAGGCGTGTAAAGGCTTGGTGTGCGGGATCAGTGCAGATCATAAAGATAGAGGGACATTACAAACAGATGAATGGCAGCAAGGGGCTAGCCTGCACCATCAGCACCACTGCCCACTGGATGCCCTTAGGTGCCTACTGTGATTTCAGAGCTGTAGCCACAGGGATAGAGAGGTCTCTTACCAGCGGCCCTGGAGGACCTATCAGCCCGGGAGGTCCCAGGTGGCCTGGTTCACCCTGAGGAGGAGACAGAGCAGAGGTGTCTGGTCTCCACCAGCACCCAGTGGGAACATTCCCCGCAGTTGGCTCCCCAACTGTGAGGAGGCCCCAAACTAGAAGCCCCGTCCGTGCTGCCCTTCCTCATTTCCACACCACTCACCACAGGACCAGGGATTCCTGGAAGACCATCAGGCCCAATCCGTCCAGGGGGCCCTCGAGCCCCAGTGGGGCCTGTCCTGCCTGGGGGCCCATCAGGACCGGCATCTCCCTGAAATGGATGTGGGTGGGACTTCCTGCTGGGCACTGATGGGCATCCCCAGGGGAAGGACCACAGGGCTCACCCCACAGGCGTGCTCACCTTGGTGCCTTTCTCCCCTTCTCTGCCTTCTGGACCCATGCGGCCAGGGGAGCCCTGAGGAGGGAAAGCATGAGGGGCATGAGGGCCGCGTGTGGGGCATTCAGGTTTATGTCAGGAGAGGGATGTGTGTGGAGAGCGAAGCTATTGTGCTCCCGGAGACGAGGTTGGCATAAGACCATCACTCACCCGCTTGCCAGGGAGTCCACGGGCACCAGGCTCCCCTGAAGCTCCAGGTGGCCCCTGTTTGGTCAAGAGCAGCTGCAGCATCCGCTCAGAGCTGAGGACAGTCCCATGGACACCACCCCTCCCCCTCCGACCATCCCAATCACAGGGGCCCCTGCTGGTGCCTCAGGCACCCCACTCCATCACAGCTCTGCACACTCCCAAGCACCACACCCCTCTGCGCCCCACTCACCGGTCCCCCGATATCACCAGCATTTCCCTTCTCCCCTGGGATGCCATCCAAACCCTAGGAAGGGGAGACAGTGGGAGAGTCTTGGGATAGGAGGGGTTAAGATGATAATGGAGGGGGTGGGAGCTTGTCCAGGTTTAGGGCCCATGGGGGGTAGATGGAGAGACATTTAGGGCTTGGGCTACAGGGAAAGTTTACACCCACCGGAACTCCAGGGTCTCCTGGGGGTCCTAGGTCGCCAGGGAGTCCTGTGGGACCCTAGAATAAAAGCTGATTGCTGAGCACATCTCACTGAGGAGGGACTTCTTCACACACCAGATTGTGTCCCCAGACCAGCTTCAGGGTACATATCACAAACACAAACTAAAGGGCTGGGATTTTATATTCAGGCAGTAAAGTGTTGGCTGTATTCCCAAGATGCTAGGTGTGGGGCCAGCAGGAGGGCTCAGCTTCTCTATTATGTCTTCATATTTGATTCATTTATTTATTTATTCATTCATTCAGTCAGTCAGTCATTCATTGTTGCATCTATTCATACAGTCTTTGTCCGGGTGGCTCAGGGAATTAGAAAATAGAAAGAAGTGGGGCTGGAGAGACGGCGCAGTGGTTGAGAGCCCTGGCTGCTCTTCCAGAGGAACAGGGTTCCATCTCCAGCACCCACATGGTGACTCACACCCATCTGTAACTCTAACTCCAGAGGATCCGACATCGTCTTCTGACCTCTGCACGCAGCAGACACACATGTGGTGCGCAGACATATGAGTAGGCAAAATACCCATACACATAATATTTTTTAAAAACGGAAAAGAGAAATTAAAACAAACAGGAAGGACAGCTATCTGGCCCGGCCTGGGGATGAGGTTTTAATACCACAAGGGCCCACGGTCTCTGCTCTGTCTCCTCCCAGGGCTTACCATGTTCCCCTTAGCTCCGTCCTCTCCAGGGGGTCCCTTCTTGCCTGGAGGTCCAGCAGCCCCTGATGGACCTGAATCCCCTTTTTCGCCAATTTCGCCTTTGGGCCCCTTTGCAGAAACAGAGATCAGAAGTCAAAGGTCAGAGTGGCATGGTCTCTTCAGGTAACAAAGATGAGTGCATGTTGGATAAAGGTCCTTGCCTTGGAAGCCTGACAACCTGATTCAATCCTCAGAGCCCATGGCAGAAGAGAACAGACCTCCAAAAGCTGATCTCTGACCTCCACACATGCACCACACCCTCACACACAATAATAAATACATAGATATTTTTTTAAAGATTAAAGGAAAGCACCCCTGTGATTAAAAGCACATACTGTTCTTGCGGAGGACCCAAAGTCAGCTCTGAGCACCCATATCAGGCAGCTCACAACCACCAGGAACTCCAGCCCCAGGGGAATCCAAGGCCATCTTCTAGCCTCTGTGGGCACTTCATTTGCAGCACATCACACACACACACACACACACACACACACACACACACATACACACACACACGGACTCAGGTAGCCTAGGTAACCCAAGTGCTACAGGCCACAGAGCACTAGAACTAGCTGGGTCAGGGATGATGGCACAGTCATCGTCTGTCCTAGCCTGTGTGCTGTTTCCAGGTGCATTACAAAATGGCCCCACTTTGGGCAACTTTACAGTTGACCTTTTCAGTTCAAGGTCTGTTCCTTGGACTTAAACCCCTAGCTGTCTCCCCAGCCCTGCACCCTTATGCAGTGGGCATCCCTGAGATCTTCCTCGAGGGAGCATCCTTCATCAAGATAATCAGGGACAGCCATTGGTCTATGGTCAGGGAAGCTCTAAAGACTGCCTAGAGGTCATGCTAGCGTGAGCTGCTCGAGATCAGCAGTTCCTTCTGGTGGGTACAAGGACAATGCTCTGTAGGGACTCACAGGGATGCCGGGAATTCCTGGGGGTCCTGCGTCTCCAGCATCCCCTGGCTCACCCTGTGGGAAGCAAAGAAAATAGAAGGAGATCATCCCACTGACAGGCAGGGTGGAGGGTCCCCATACAACTGTGGCCAATAGGAACAGTCCTTGTACCCTCCATCCTGGACAAGTTCAAGTTCTCTTACCTTCTCGCCCACAGCGCCAGGCTGTCCTATTCCCCCAGGCAGCCCTGGGGGGCCCTGGAGAGACAGCGAGAGGAGTATGAGTCCCTAGAAGTGTGGCAGACCCACAGAGACATTCTACCCATCCTGGAATTCTCACCTCTGATCCACTGGGCCCAGGGGGACCCCGAGGGCCTGGTGCTCCATGGGGACCCTGTTGAAGAACCAAATAGTGTAAAATGAACCCCCACGACTCCACCAGAAAGACTACAGTAGCCACAAATAGCCCGTAGGATGTGTGTGACCCTTTAGACGACAGAGCTCCCAGATGGACCAGTGGCCACTCCCATTCCCTCCCATCTTCCATCGCCCCAGGGAGTTCATACCATGGATCCCACATCTCCGACCTCTCCCTTTTCCCCCGGAGGGCCCGGCAGCCCCTGTGAAATAAAGAGTGAAATGTAGCTGGTGAGGTGGCCCGTTTGGTCAAGCAGCTCTCAAACAAGTGTGAGGACTTGAGTCTGGATCCCTAGAGCCCGTTCTCAAAAGGCCAGACACACCAGAGCTCTCCTGCAACCCCAGCGCTGGGAGGCCGTGACAAGAGGACCAACGAACGCCCCAGCAGCCAGTGACCAGATCAAGGAACTCCAGGTTCAGTGAGAGATGCAGCCTCAAAAATAAGGTAAGGAGGGCTGTCGAAACGGCTTAGTGGGTAAAGGGGCTGGCCACAGAGCCTGGTGGCCTGAGTTTGATCCCTGGGATCTACATGGTAGAAGGAGAGAACTAACTCCTGCAAGTTGTCTTCTGACCTCCACACACGTGCTGCGGCATGAATGAGCATGTGAGTGCGCACGTGCATGCGCTCGCGCACGCACACACATACAATGTTAAAAGAAAGGTTAGTTGACTAACAGTAGAAAACCGTGTCGACCCTCCTCCTCCGAGTGCACATGCCTACATGACAACCTTCATCTCTTAATTTGTATGTTGGTTTTGAGATAGAGTCTCACTCTGTAGCCCTGGCTGTCCTCAGACTCACAGAAACCCACCTGCCTTTACCTCCCGAGTTCTGGGACTAAAGGCATCCACCATTACATCTGGCCCTCTAAGCTTTTCATCTTTATGTATCACTAAGACACAGAAATGGCCACACACACACACACACACACACACACACACACACACACACACACCACAAAGATTAGAGCCCCGGGTAAGAGGATCAAAAGGTGGCACCCCAAACTCACACACCTACCTGCAGGCCTGGAGGACCAATTACACCTACAAAACCTCGGACTCCATCATCTCCCTTCTGCCCAAAGAGGCCAGGGGGTCCCCGGCGACCCTGAGCCCCATCAGCACCCTGTGAAGATGGGGACAAACACAGTTGATGTCAAGGTTGTAGACAGGGTCAAAGGTTGGGACTGAGGCTAAGGGATAGGATCAAATTTGGTGAGAGTCAGGTTTTAGTTTGATGTGGTGTTCAGGTGACATTTTGAGTTAATGACACATGCTGAGTCAGGGTCATGGCTCATGTAAGGTTATGAGCAGGGTTTGTAGGAAGTTGAGATGAATTTTAGGGCTAGGTTGGAAGTTATGACCTAATATGACACTCTGACCTGGACAGGTCATTCTTCAGTGACAGGGTTCCTAAGAGGGAGGTGGCCAGCAGATGAGAAAATAAAGAAGACAGAGAGCAGGGGTCGGGGTCTTGCACAAGCTATGTCTTATGCTAAGTAAGCTTACTAAGTTATACAGCATCTTAAAAAAAAGATTTATTTATTTTATGTATGTGAGAGCTCTGGCTCTGTCTCCGTGTACCCCTGCATGCCAGAAGAGGGCATCAGATCCCAGTATAGATGGTTGTGAGCCACCATGTGGGTGCTGGAAATTGAACTCAGGACCTCTGGAAGAGCAGACAGTGCTATTAACCACTGAGCCATCTCTCTAGCATCTTATATACAGATGGAAAATGGGAGAAGGTCAACAGAAAGCTGTCACACTTCAGAAGAAAGCCGGAAGAAGCTAATGAGTCGGTGTTGCAAAATGGGGCACAGGGTCTCTCAGGGACATCAGCACACAGCAGCCTGGGGACTGACAACCAAAGCACCTTAGGGTGGGGAGAGTTGGATTCTCAGGATCCAAAGCCACAACTCCTTCAAGGCCGTGGTCCCAGGCCACAGCCAGCTCTGCCAACCATGTTCCTGGTTTACAGGAAGATCTACATTCTTTCTCTAAATATCAGGGCCTCAAGGAAATCCTTGGATTAGGCTACTCAACAACACTCAAAAGTTCCTGTAACCTTGAGCCCAGAATCTATATGCTATTTTGAAGCAGGCTCTCATGGGGCCCAGGCTGGTATCAAATTTATTTTATACCTGAGGATGACCTTGAACTCATCATCTTTCTCATCTTTTTGCTTCTACTTCCCCAGTACAGGCATGGACTACTATGCGTTGGCTCCAGGGTGCTAGAGTTGGAGCCCAGAACTTTGGGCATGATAGGTAAGCATGCTGCCAACTAAATCACATCACCAGCCTCCTTCCAAGATTACACGTTGATAGTATTTGGAGGTAGGGCCTTACGAAAGTACTTAAGATCAGATGCAGTCGTAAAGGTGGGGCCGAATGATGGAGTATTAGTGGCTTTATAAGGAGACACAAGAAAGGACCCAAGTTTACCTACTTACTAGTAACACACTATGTTATGATAAAGCAAGAAGACTCTGGACAGATGCCAGCACCACTATAAAGGACTTCCCAGCCTCCAGGACCATGAGTCACCCAAATAAATTATTTGGCTTTAGTGATTTTTGCAACAGTAACATAAAATTAACTAAGACGAGGCTAGAGTCTAATTCAAAGTTCAAGTCCCCATTTGAGGCCAGCATTGGAAGGGGCAGACCTTGTTGGGACAGACAGTAAGAATAAGGGTGAAGTAAGCTAGGATTTGCTTAACTTGAATATTTTTGTTGGATGAAGATCAAAGCGGAAGCAGGCTGAGGTGGGATTCAGGGTTGGAGTTGGGTTTATCATGGGTGTTGGCATTGATGGAAGACCAAGGCTGGGCAAGGACACAGGGATTTTATTCAGGAGAGTGACACACTGTCTTCACTTCAAGGACCCAGGGTATAGTCACCAAAGTTGGGAGCACTCACCGGAGGGCCTGGGTGGCCTGCTGGACCCCTTATCCCTGTTGGTCCAGGAGGTCCCTGAAGGGGGAAACAAAGTGGAAAATTCTATCAGAGCTGAGCATGGTGGTGCAAGCCCGTGATCCCAGCACTCAGGAGTCAAGGACAGCCTCAGCTACATAGCAAGTTTGGGGCCAACCTAAGTTACATGAATTCTTCTTTTATCTGAAACAAACAAGCAAACAAAACTCACCCTATTTGTTCTGGGACTGAAATTCTGAGAGAAAAGCTGCTGGCGCCAGGCCAAGGCAGATTCTCACCATGAAGGGATAGAGGATTTTGAGGGCAAGAGGGGCCCTCAAAAAATAATAAGTTTTTATTACATTTATGTATTTTGTGTGTGTGTGTGTATTCATGTGTGTGGCAACTTATGAGAGCAAATTGTTTTCTTCCACCGTAAAAGTTCTGGGGCTGGAATTCAGGTCACTGAGTTTATTGGCAAGCCCTTTACCCCCTGAGCCACCTCACCAGCCCTAGAGGACTCTTTCTTACTGTCCTGTGTGCTCAGGGCTCAAACAGTGTTCAAGTAGGGCTCTTTAGCCACTCAGTGCCAATGAGCTAGGTGCCAAGACTGGGCCAAGCAGGGCAGGGATCGCAGGCCACCCATGAGCATCGTACCCTCCCTAGGCTCCCCACTCACCGCATCTCCTTTGTCTCCCTTGTTTCCCTTGTGGCCAGGCATCCCTACTTCCCCCTGTGGGACAAACACATCAGGAAGTGTCCACCCCCGTCAGCCCCATCCTCTCCCTGCGCTGTCCCTCTCCCTGGCCCTCTCACCTTGTCCCCTTCCTCACCAGAAGGCCCCGCAGCTCCTGGGGGCCCCTGAAGCCCCGGAGGCCCTGGAATACCATCTTTGCCAGTGGGACCAGGAGCACCCCGTTCTCCCTGGTGGAGGAAAAGGAAGGAGAGATATTAGAAGAAGAAGAAGACACAGGCGAAACCATCTGTGCAGCAGTATCTTTAAAATTAAAACTAGGGCCAGGTGTAACAGCGCATGCCTGAAATCCCAGCACTTGGGAGGAAGAGGCAGGTGGATCTGTGTGTAGAAAGTGAATCTAGGATAACCAAGGCTACACAGAGAAACCCTGTCTCAAAAAAATCAAGAAAGAAAAAGAAAAGAGAAGAAAGAAAGAAAGAAAGAAAGAAAGAAAGAAAGAAAGAAAGAAAGAAAGGAAGGAAGGAAAGGAAAGAAACTTAGAGAAGACCCAGGTTCAATTCCCAGCACCCACATGGCAGCTCACAAATGTCTGTAATGCCAGTTCCAGGGGATCCGACACCCCCACACTGACATACATGTAGGCAAAACACCAGTGCGCATAAAATAAAAATAAAGAAACTATGAAATTGTCTGTCTTAAAGAGAGCTCCTTAAAGGTCAGGATATAAACAAGCTTCAAGTCTCAGAAAATGCCTGGAACTGACAGGGTTCGCCAGGCTCTCTCCAGTTCACAAGTACTGGGGAGAGAGTCTGTGGCCTGTCAAGCTGCCAGCAAATTGTACTCCGCTCTTCTGAGGCATGAGCCAGGCTGGTGGCTCACTCAGTGATGCAGCTACGTTTGAGTCAGTCTGGTTTTGTAAGTCACTCCTCACCCATTCACTTGTAAGTAATCCCAATAAGCTCACAGCTTTGTTAAGCTGAACTTGGGAGAGGTAATTTTATGAAGTGATTTTTTTTTTATTTTAATTTTATCTTTAATTATGTATAGACGTATGTGAATGGGTGAGTATGTGCACACGAGTGCAATTGCTAATAGAGGCCAGAAGAGGGCGACAGATCACCTGGAACTGGACTTACAGGCAGATGTGAACCTACCAAAGTGGATGCTGGGAACTGATCTCAGGTACTCTACAAGAGCAGTAAGGGCTCTTATCCGCTGAGCCACCATCTCGCCAGCTCACAGAAACAAGTTCTTTGGTCAGATGTTGCTCTCCTATCTGGACTAGAGTCCAGATGCTTGTTCATATCTCTTCCAGAAAAAGCCACCCAACAGACACTTACCGGGGAACCCTTCTCGCCAGCAGGACCAATAGGGCCTTGCCCACCACTCTGGCCAGGAAGCCCAATGCCACCAGAGGGGCCCACAGGACCACGCTCACCCGGAGAGCCCTGGAAAAGGGGCAGAATGAGAAAGTGACAGGGCTCTGGGCACCATTGCTGTGTCTTACACACAGCCAGAGGGCACCTCTGAGCACTATGGTAGGATCCTCTCCACAGGCCTCAATGGCTCCCACCTTCCTCAACTTGAGGAGCACACAGCCCTGAATGAACTGCCCCCATCACCATCCACCGTCTTCTCTTCACTCACGCACCTAGCCACACAGACCTCACTGTTCCTCAAACCTGCAGGGCCTGGTCCTGACCTGGGGTTCTTTACACACGCTGTTGCTTCTACCTGGAAAACCATCCCTCAGCTCTCCACATGGCCCCATGCTTATCTCCTCCAGGTCTGACTCAGTCAAACCCAGAGCTAGCTGAGGTGCTTATCCTGCTTACCAGCTTCCTCTGGGGACCCCTTGCCTCCGGCTTCCCAGTCTGGAATTAAAGGTGGCCCACCACTCCCGCCCGACATTCACGCCGGTGCCCGGGCTCTAAACTCGGATCTCCATGCTTGTGTGGCCAGCAATTTACCCACAGAGCCAGCTCCCCACCCAGTCCTCCGACCGCTGGGAAGCGTCTCGGCTGAGACTCGGGTGGTGGGCGTCAGAACTGAGTCTGTTCCAGGCCCTCCTTCCCCTAGAGCCCAGGCTCCATCCTGACGCCCTCAAGTCCCCTCCAGCCCTCTTCCCACCACTTACATTTGCTCCAACAGGCCCAGGGGGCCCCTTGTCACCCTTCAAACCGATGGGTCCCTGGGGGAGGAAATGGCCAGTCAGAAAATCTCCCAGGGATTCCAAGAATTTGCCTTCACTTTTGGCGACCCTCATCATTTCCAGCCTTATCTGAAGGTGGACCCCGAGTTCTGTAGCTCTGTCCGCTCCAGGTCTGTGCCACTACCATGTCTGTGTGTGTGTATGTGTGTGTGTGTGTGTGTGTGTGTGTATGTGTATGTAAGCATGTGTGTGTGTGTGTGTGTGTGTGTGTGTGTGTGTGTGTGCTCACACCTTCCGTGGCACATGTGTCAAGGTCAAAGGACAACTAGCAAGAGTTAGTTCTCTCCTCTTCTATCATGTGGGTCCTGGGGATCCGTTCATCAGGCACGGCAAGCCCCTTCCCCTGCTGAGCCCTCTCACTGGCCACCGCTAACATCTTTATCCAGGGCACCCTCCTGTTCACCATCCCTGTAGCCAACTTTGAAGAGCCTTCTCTACCCCACAGCACCACACTCCACTCCAGTGGACTCTCCAAAGATACTTACTGGGTCTCCGGGGGCTCCTTGGGAGCCAGGGAAGCCCATGGGCCCAGGTGGCCCCTCCTTCCCGGGGGCTCCCAGGGGTCCTAGTTCACCCTGCGGGAAGCCAAGGCATGAGGTTAGCCTCGGAAATGGGGTGTCTCTCCCAGTCTCGGACTGCTCCCAGCTGCTCCCCACACAGTGGGAGGCCCATGGCATGGGGCAATTTGTCCAAACTCTTACCTTGGCCCCTTCTCTGCCTTCTGTGCCTGGCAGACCTTGTTCACCAGGAGGTCCAGGGGGCCCTGGGGGCCCCCTCTCGCCTAGAGGCCCCACGTCCCCCACCTTTCCCTGGAAACAAGCAAAGGACATCTTGAGCAGCCTGGGGATGGGGAGTATGCCAAACCTCCAGCCCATGTGTTCCTCAGGTGATGAAAACGGGGGAAGGCTGAGGAGGTCCACTCTGACCTGAGGACCAAGGACACCAGCTGGTCCAGGAGGGCCTGTCTGACCTTGGAAGCCCTAAGGAGAGAAACACAAAGGGGTGTCACTTGGGAGGAAGAAAGGAGAGCCCAAGGGACCGGAGAGAGAGCTCAGTGGGCAGAGTGTTCTTCATGCAAGCAGGAAGACTGGAGTTCAGCCTTCCACCCTCCATGCAGAAAGCCAGCTGTGCTATCCACATTCCTAATCCCCGTGCTGGGGAGGTAGAGACCAGGGCCTCACTGGGGGTCACTGGCCAGCCAGTCTAACCTAGTCAGTGAGCCCCATGTTCCGGTGAGAGGCTCTGTCTCAAAAAACAAGGTGGAAGCCAGGGAGAGGGCTAAGTGAGTAAGAGCATTTGCTATTCAAGCAAGAGAACAAGAGTTCGAATCCCCAGCACCCATGTAAAAGCCATGCCTGTGACCCCAGCAGTGGAGACTGGAGACAGGTGAATCTCGGGAATTGTTGGCCAGCCAGCCTAACCAAAACGGAAAGCTTCGGGCTCACTCCTAAGGAGCAAGATGGGGAGAGATAGAGGAAAATCCCAGCATCCTTTTCTGGCTTCCACATGTACACCCACATGAACTCCACCTCATACACAAGGGCCCATCATGGTCAGGAGTCAGAGGTCAAGGGTCACTTACCAATTCTCCTCTTTGCCCAGGGTGGCCAGGTATCCCGTCTTTCCCCTGAGGACCCTGGGGAACAAGGTAAGAGGGAACGAAGATTCAGAGCTGGAGCCATCCTCCCTTGTACCCCTCCCCCAATGACTCCGGGTCAGGGTGACATCACTCACTGGGGGGCCCTTTGGTCCAGGGAATCCTGGGGGACCTTGCAGACCAGGGAGACCCTGAAATGGAACCAGAAATCATTACCTCATCCCTCCTGAGTGTCTTGCACCTAAGACTCACAAAAATGACCTTAAAAGCCAGTCAGGTTGCTGGCAAAATGGCACACACACACACACACACACACACACACACACACACACACTCACTCACTCACTCACCTTTTCTCCAGGGGCCCCAGGAGAGCCGCTCTGGCCCACGTCACCCTGGAACAGAAGGAATGGGCTTCAAACCCAGAACACACTCAACTGGAAGGACTGGGCAGATAGCTCAGTCAGCCTAAGATAGGCAAAGGGCCCTTGGTCATCCCCCATCCCTACTCACTCCCATACCTTGGGGCCAGGCTGGCCAGTGGCCCCTGGCTGTCCTCTGTCTCCACGGGGGCCCTGCACAGAGAGAATTTAAGAAAAAAGAATAAAAATAAAAAAAGCATATAACAGAAGTGAGTGGGAGGGTGGGCCTGGGAGAGGACACCACACACAGGTTCCTTCCTCCAAAAGTCCCCTATGGTTCCACCAGGGACAGGACCTGTCCTTTCCTGCCCACTCATGACTTCACTACCCCGGCTCCCCTCAGCCTGGTTCCCCCGTGTGGAGCAGCCATCATTTCCTTACCGGTGTGCCACGCTCTCCTTCCTCCCCCGGCTGCCCTGCTTTGCCCTGGAAAGCAAGTTAAAACCGAGAGAAAGTGGAAGTTGCCTTGTGCTTCGTGAGACTCACATGCACTTATGTGTTCAACAGGTGGGGATGAATGCATACAGGGATGGCTGCAAAAGAAAGCCTCATGCAGGGAGAAAAACCAGCCCAGAGGAGAGGTCTGTGCTGCCGGCAGCAGCACCGGACGGACGGAACCATCTCAGCCCTTTGAAACTGAAGCCCCAGACAGCAGACACAGAGATACAGATGCGGAATTTGGTGTTTGCCCTGCTGGCTTTCAGTCCAGGATTTCCTCATCAAGCCACTCACTATTCTTCCCTTGTGGAATGGGAGTTCTATTCTGTGGCATTGTAATATGTTTTCAGTTTGGCTTTTAAAGCATTGGAATTTTGAAAGACTATAAGATTTTAAAAATTAGACTGTATTTTACATTTTAAAATAAACATGAGACTTTGGGGACCAGAAGTGGAAGATTATGTGTTTTTCCAGTTGACAAGAGTAGAGCTATGCCAGTTAGGTTTCCTTCTGGTAAGATTGTGTGGTGTGTGTGTCTGTGAGTGTGTGTGTGTGTATGTGTATGTGTGTGTGTGTGTGTGTGTCTTTCGCTGGGGGTAGGAGTGTTGGTGCACAAAAGTGCAAGTGTTCCCAGCGGCCAGCAGAGGGCATCAGATCCTGTGGATCCAGAGCTACAGATGGTTATGAGCCACCTGATGGAGTGCTGAGAACCAAACTCCAGTCCTCTGGGAGAGTGGCCAGTGCTCTTACGCTCTGAGCCAGCCCTCCAGCCCTCCAGAAGCATCCAGGAAGAGTCTCACTGAGGGATTCTCTAGATCAGAATAGCCGGTGGGAATAGTGTGTGGGGGGGATTGCCTGGACTGCCTTAATTGACAGAGGAAGATGTTAACAAGCACAGATAAACTGCCCTGACACCCTCCTCCTGGCACTCACAAGGACACATTGTTCCGCTTGGACCAGGCCACCCTCCCATTCCCTCTGGCTTACAACTTACCCTTTTGCCCTTCTCTCCCAGTGGTCCTAAGGGTCCAGGAAATCCAACAGATCCCTAAGCAGAGAGAATGAGACATGACATGTGGGGATTAGTGAGCATTAGGCACAACTGGCTCCTGGCTTCATCTTTGGAGGCTTCCTTAGGTTACTGAATCTAATGGCTTCCTGGCATCATCTCCAGCCCCCGGCTCCTCAGGGCAGTCCTCCATCCTCCTCCCCACCTCATTCTCTGACTCTCACCCCCACAGCAGCCACACTGCCCTCCTCCAAATGCCCCAGGTATGCTAGTGTGTTCCTGCCAAAAATCTCTGCACAGCCCCCCTCCCTCACCTTAAACGCTTTTCTCTCAGGTCTACACAAAGCCATCAGTCACTCATCACTCACAATTTTATGTGCATGTGATACGTGTGTACATGTATGTGCAGGCACGTACACCCACATAGAGAAGAAGCACAGGAGAACGCCAGGTGGCCTACTCTATTATTGCGTGGCCGCAGCTGGTAAAGCACTTGCCTATCATGCAGAAATTCCTGAGCTCCACCCCCAGCAACACGTAACACAGGTGTGGTGGCATCTACAGACCAAGTGTAAGGCTAGCCTGGGCTACATGAGACCCTGTCTCAACAAAAATCAAGAGGGGCCGGCTGGCTGGTGAGTGGGTGTGGCAGCAACTCGGAAGGTAAAGAAACGGAGTTCCCAAAGGCGCAAGCTCACTAGAAGATAACTAGAATGGGTGAGCTCTAGCTCACGTGCGAGACCCTGCCTCCAGACATAAAATGGGAGCGATGGAGGAAGACACCGACACCAGCCTCCAGCTTCCACGCTCAGGCACGCCTGCACACGTGGGAGGGTAACACACATCTGAACACACACACATACACACACACACACGCAAAACAAGCAACTCAAAGACCAACAAAAAGGGGTGAGAATTTGTAGGAGGTGGCTACATACTGAAAGTGTGTCTTTGAGTGGGACTGGGTGCCTTGGTTTCTCTCTCTCTCTCTCTCTCTCTCTCTCTCTCTTCTCTCTTCTCCATATCTCCTCTATCTCCATATCTCTTTCTCCTTTCTCTCCCCTTTCCCTTTTTCTTTCTCTTCCTCTCCCTTTCTCTTCTCTCTCCACCTCTCTCCTCTACCCCCGTTCTCCTGGTTCAAGATGGGAGTAGCCCCTGTCTGTCACCTTCGTACCGTTACTACCATCTGCCACCAGAAGCCGAAAGTCAAAGGGTCATTCAAGACCACGAACCAAACGTAACTTGCCTGTAAAAGCTGATCTCCCCTAAGGTATAGACAAGACAACCATGTTAACTCCCAACAGCAAAAATGTGGAGCTCAGCAAGAATTCTGTTTCCAGTGAGGGGGCTCAGCGGGTAAAGGGGCCTGCCACCAGTCCTAACGGGGAGAGTGTGGTCTGCGCTACCCACGTGGCAGTGCTCTTACCTGCTGAGCCATCTCTCCAGCCTCCTGTAAAAACTTCCTCATGGAATCTAACTGGGTCCCATGAGAACTATGTTAAGGAGTGAACTGACTCCTTTGTTGTCCTTTGTGTGTATCTGTGTGTGCCCTGTGCCCACCGGGAACAGAAAACGGCACTGGATCCCAGGAGCTGAAATTACAGCCACCATGTGAGTACTGGGAACGGATTCCCAGGGTCTCTGCAGGAGCAGCAAGAGCTCTTAACCTCTGAGCCATCTCTCCAGCCCATAAATGTGATTTTTAAAAGAGTATTCTGCAGTTGCTCCCATATATCTTCAAGTTCCCAAGTGACTTTACATAAACTTGCATGCTCAGACACCCACGATGGAGTCTGGGGTGTGGCTCAGACAGAAAACACAATCTCGCACGCACTCTTATCCCTAAGGCTGGCACGTGTGTTTCTCCGGAGCCACATCTCTATATTAGTACGCTGTGTTGGGTTATAATGAATTCAAGATCATCGGAAAGATCTCAGTTTTTTGAGTTCACCTGGCGTTTTTTGGGATTTCAGTGTCTTTGTGTGAGCCGCCCCCTGACCTGTGCTGGTAGCTAGATTCTTAGTGTGAGAATGCGGATGGGGTATCTTTAAGGGGCATAGTGTGGTGGGAGGTCTTTAGGACGTTAGGACTAACAGGAAGGGATTAACATAGTTCTCATGGGACCCAGTTAGATTCCATGAGGAGGTTTTTAAAGGAGGCTGGAGAGATGGCTCAGCAGGTAAGAGCACTGGCTCTTCTTCCGGAGGACCTGGGTTCATTTCCTCCAGTACCCACATGTCAAGCTCACAACCATCTGTAACTCCAGTTCCAGGGGATCTGACACTCTCTCCTGGCCTCTCCTTGCAAGCATCTGTGGTTCACAGACACATAGGCAGGCAAAACACCCATACACATAAAATAAAGATAAATACAAATCTCAAAAAAACATTTAGAAGAGATTCTTTAAAAAAAAAACATTTTTATCAAGGCCAGCCTGATCTACAAAGCAAGTCCAACACAGCCTAGGCTACACAGAGAAACCCTGTCTCAAAAAACAAAACAAAAAACCATTTTGATGACCAGCACTCAGAAGCTGGCGGCAGGTGGATCTCTGTGCGTTCAAGACCAGTCTGATCTACGCATTGAGATTCTGTCTCAGCAAAACCAAGGCACTTTTATTATATTTACTTATTTTCTGTGTGCATGTCCGCCACAGCATACATGTGAAAGTCACAGCCAGCTTGCAGGACTCAGGTCTCTCTTTCCACAACTTGGGTGCTAGGGACCAAACTCAGGTGACATCAGGTTTGGAGGCGAGAACCTTTATCTACTGAGTTATCTTACTTACCCAAGGGGAACTGTGTTTGTTGTACGTGTATTCCTGTGAGTGCACATACATGTGGAAGTCGATGCTGCGTGTCTTCTCTGACTGTACTTCACTTTAGTGTGCACGTGCACATGCTCTTGGGCTTGTGTGGTTATGAACATGTGTCTAGGCAGAGGCCAGAACAGGACATCCGACATCCACCTCCATTGCTCTCCACCATATTCCTTTGAGACAGGGTCTCTCCCTGAATGTGGAGTTAGGCTGGTGACCAGCAAGCCCCACTGATTCTCCTGATTCAGACCCCCACAGCCCTGACATTGCAGGTATACACATAGGCCTTGCCTGACTTTTTTTCCCTTAGTATTTGTTTTGTTTTATTTTAATGTGTGTGTGTGAGAGAGAGAAAGAGACAGACAGAGAGAGAGGAAGAGGGGGTTGATATGCTGGCAGAGGACAGACCATGTCAGATTCCCTAGAGGTGGGGTTGTTGGCAGTTGTAATGTGGATGCAGAGAAATGGGCTCTGGAAGGGCAGCTGAGCCATTTCTCCATCCTGAATATGCAAGTGGATGATGGGAATTTGAACTCAGGCTCTTATGCTTGTTATAGCAAGCACTCCCCCACTGACCCATCCCCTTGGCTCCTCCTCCCTAACTCTGAGATAAAGTCTCTCACTGAACGTGGAACCTGCTCATTGGTTAGATTGGCTGGTCACTGAGCCTCAGGGATCCTCCTGCCTCCACCCCTCCAGTGTTGAGGTTACCCATGTGTGGCATCACACACGGCTTCTCACAGGGGTGCTGGGACTCAAACTCAGTGCTTCGGAGGGAGCTGGCTTCCTGTCCTGTTGTGGGATCGCTCTAACTTGTAACTGCTTTCATCATGACACTATCCTCTAATAAAGGAACTCAGCCAGGGAGGGAACTTAACTAGGGCCAAATCACTGGAGTCTCCATAACTATGCCCACAAAACCTCTTTTCTTCATAAAATATCCAGCTTCAAATGGTTTTTGCTACAGCAAGAGAGGTCTACACCTCTCTGAATGATGAACCAAACAACACACCAAAAACCATCAAGTGAATGAGTCAGACAGAACAGGTACCTCCATTTAGCAGCTGAGAAAACGGGTTCAAGAACCTCACTCAGGGCCATGTAGGTCATGAGCAGTGACCATCTGAGAAAAAGTCCATGATCCTTTTTTACACTCTCTCAATGACATGAGCTGCACACCCTTCCCCCTTCAGATCACGGCCTCCGCCCTCAGGAAGTCTGTCTACCTTTGCCCCGCCTCCCTTCGGTTCCATGGCAGCTTACCTTGGGTCCTGGGCGTCCTGGGTAACCCGGAACACCTGGCACCCCAAGCTTGCCCTACAGAAAAAAGGTGGTAGAACAAAGGTCATACATTGCAAGCTGGAAACCAGAGGGGAAAGTTTCAAGATGTCTGCACAGCAGAGTAAGAGCCAAGGAAACTGTTCCTACGAGGGGTTTGCCTGTGAGGAGCTCACTCACCAGTGCCAACCTGTGCCCTCATCTGTAAGGTGTTGATAATAATTTACTACAGGGACCGGAGAGAGGATTCAGCAATTTGGTTCCCAGCACCCACATCAGGCAGCTCCCAAGCGCCTATGACTTTAGCTTCAGGAAATGGCCACAGAGACGAAATTTAAAATAAAATAAAAAAATTTCCCCCTTTTTAAAGACAGGGGAGATCTCACTATGTAGCTCTTGGGTGTCCTAGAACTCACGGTATAGACATGGCTGGCCTCAAACTCATAGAGATACATGAACCTTTGGCTCACCCCTACCCTACTGGCACTGGAATTAAAGAAATGCACCACCATGGCATGCTAAAAATAAAATAAACCTTTTGAAAGATCTGTTACACAAAGTCGCTGTGGGGATTAAAATGAAGGTATATGCAAGGTATGACTCTACAATACTCAACATAAAAATTAAGTATGACAGCCTTATATCCCTGTCCTGAATCCCCCAGTGAGGGGCTGGGGTGTGGCTCAGTGGCAGAGCCCCTGCCTAGAATTCCCCAGTGAGGGGCTGGGGTGTGGCTCCACAGTACAACTGTTTTCTAACAGGTGAGAATCCCTGGTTCCATCTCTAGATTGGAGGGTGAGGCAGCAGCAAGGTGCAGAGATGAACAGGGAACTGTAAGAGAACCCTGTCTCATCACCTTCTCCCCTGCTGCTCCTGGGGGACCCTCATCGCCAGGCAGTCCCTCAGGCCCCTTTTGTCCTTCTGGACCATCCTCTCCTCTGGGTCCTGGGAGTCCCGGGTTTCCCTGAAATAGAAAAGAAAGAGATTGAAACCAGCCATTTGTCCCTCCTACTCTGACCACCTTCTCTTTAACCCCTGCTCACCGCACTGTGTTTCCCCCACAAACCTCCTAATCTAGAGCTCGTCTTACCCGGTCGCCTTTTGGTCCGCCATCACCCTTGAAACCAGGAAAGCCATCCTCTCCCTAGGGGACATACAGAAATGGAGATAGAGAAGGAGAGAGAAGGGAAAAGGGGAGGCATAGTAGAAGAGAAAAAGGGATGGAGAGAGGCATGGGTCACAAATCAGGGCCTTCGGGAAGGGACATAGCCAGGCTTTTTATGGGGGCTTCCTCTCCCCACTCCAATGAACCCCTTCCTTCTCACCCTTTCTCCTTTCTCTCCTTGGAGACCCCGGTTACCAGAAGTGCCCTTAAAAAAAAAAAATATTTTTAGAGCGTTCTCAGTCTCCTTCCTTGCCTAAGGAAGGTTCTAAACTTCCTCCCTTGACCTAAAATTGTGAAAACAGTTTCAAGACGACCAGTGTGCGGTGGGAAGCCCTGAAGAAAACAGTCCTGTTTCCCTAGCGCCCCTCCCTCAGTGTGCTGGCCCTGCTGCACCTACCCATTGCATGCCTGGCAGCCACCACCCCCTCCCTCCCTCCCCTCACCCATTTCCCCCACCAAGTTCATGTGCGTGGTGAGAACCCGGAAAGCTGAACCTCTGTGCCATTCATCTCTACTTCCTGAGGACACAGCGTCCACAGTTCCTTCTGGCAGCAGAAAGAGCATTCCAGAGTCCAGCCCTCATTCCAAAGGCAGGAGAGACTTTCTCCCATTGTGCTGGCCACAAGGAGACTCTGTGCCTGGTGACAGCATGCCCATCTCGTGCATACCCTGGACTAACTTCCTGCCTGCACCACGCTGACAAACTGCAGTTGGCTCAGCCAGGAACTGAGCTCAGCTGAAGAATGAACTAGCAGTTGGAGCTGATGCAACTATGTGCTTGGAAACAGCAGGGCCTTCTTCAGCCCCACAGTAATTTACCCGACCACAGCAAAGAAAGCTTTTGGCTGCGGCTGTCCCCTCCCTTGGCTACAAAGTAACTAGATTCAGATACAGCACAGGCTGCGGCTACAGCCTCTCGCTTATCTCCAAGATAAGCTGGAAGCCCCAGGGCTTGCCGGAAGACATAAGATCCAGCTCTGGAAAGCATAAGATCCAGCTCTTATCTACGTTGCCTCCTCTGTGCACACATCAAACTATGATAAAATCCAATTTACAAGTTAAGCAAAAAACACAATGAAAAAAGCAACTAACAATAAAATTAGAGCACCATTTTTTCATTTGTTTGCTTATTTTCTGTTTTGTTTTGATTTTTTTGAGCCGGGGACTCTTGTTTTGTTTTTGAGATAGTAGCACCGCCCACCTGGCCTGGTATTCTCTGTGTATACCAGGATGGCCTAGAAAACACAGAGATCCTTCTGCCTCTGCCTCCCAAGTGCCAGAGTGGGTTTGTTTGTTTGTTTGTTTGTTTGTTTTCTTTCACTTTCTTTTTGAGACAGGGTCTCATGTAGCCCAGGCTGATTTTAAATTCACTACATAGCTAAGGAAGACTCTGGAATCGCAATCCCCCTGCCTCTACACCTCAACACTAGAACTACAGGCATATAGCACCAAGCTGAGTTTATTGGGGTTCAGGATTCCAGCCATGAACCAGCTGAGCTACAGCCCCAGCTTTCTTTCTAGTTCTTATTTTGAGACAAGCTGGCCTCATACTTGTATAACTAAGGTTCACTTAAAATTTCTGATCCTCCTCTCGCAAGTACTGCAATTATTGGGGTGTGTATCTGTCTGTCTGTTTGTTTTCTGAGTGGTTTGTGAGACAGGATCTCAAAATACAACAATGCAGTGCAGCCCTCCCTAGCATAAAACTCACTATATAGCCCAGGCTAGCCTCAAACTTGCAGCAATCTTCTTGCCTCTGCTTCCCAAATACTGAGACCAGACAGACACACCATGCCTGGCACCTAGCTGGTTTTCTGACACCGACACTAATGAACTCTCCCACCTTCAAGCCCTTAAGTGTTACCTACCTTCACACCCCGAGGTCCAGGATAGCCCTGCGGGCCTGCTGACCCTGGTGGACCCTGAAAGGAAAATAAGGTCAATGCCTTCTTGTTCCAGCCTTCTCTGTTCTCAGTATCCTCTGTCTCCTCAACGGCCCATGGCTACTTCCTACTGCCCTTCCTCAGCCCCACCACCCTCCTGGTCACTCACCTGTGCCCCTTTCTCTCCTGTGGGACCCTCGTGGCCTGGGTGACCCTGATGGAGAAACACATCCAGTCATGAAAAGCTGAAATTTGCCGTTCAAACCCCCAAGCCGTCCCCTTGCCCCAGCTCTGGGCTCTCACCGGGGGGCCCTCAGCTCCTGGGACACCTGGAATTCCGGGGTTTCCGGGAGGACCCTGAAAGAAGAGGAACAGTAAGGGTAGCCTGAGAGTCTCAGAGCCCAGACAGCAGGGTCTACCCAGGCAGCTCAGAGCAAGGCCGCAACACACTCGTCTGGCCCATCTCTGCCAGTGTTTGCTGTGTGACTCTGGTAAACCAGCTTGCTCTCTCTGAGCTTCAGGATTCCTCCTTATCTGGGAGGGATGTGAAAACATGGGTGATGGTGGCACAAGCTTTTAATCCCAGCACTCCAGAGGCAGAGGCGAGTGGATCTCTGAGTTCGAGGCCAGCCTGTTCTACAAAGGGAGTCCAGGGACAGCCAAGGCTACACAGAGAAACCCTGTCTTGAAGATCCAATAATAAATAAATAAATAAATAAATAAATAAATAAATAAATAAATAAATAAATAGATCTTTCTAGAATTCCCTAGTGTGAGTGCAGCTCCATAGTAGAGTACTTGCCTATATCACGCACAAGGCCTAGCCCCAGCCCACGAAAGAACAAAACCAGTATAAAATACATCGGAGTTGGGAATTTCTTCTCCATATCCTTTTGTCCTTTTGTTTTGTTTCTTTGTTTCATTTTATTTTAATCATTTATTTACTTATTTATTGAGACGAAGTTCAGCAGTATAGCCCAGGCTGGTTCTCACCCTCAGTTACTGGGACTGTTGGGGTGTGTCACCACGCCTGGTAAAATCCCTTTCTCTGAAAGTACATCCCACCCACCGCTCCATCTGCAGAAGGATGGGCTCAGACAGACGTGAGGGCTTCCAGTCCCGGGCTCCACGCCTCCTGTTTCTAAGTTCCTGAAGCAGCTGATTGGCTTTGCTGGGCTACACCTTTGGACCTACCACACGTTTGCAGGGTGTGGGGCATTTTCTTGATTAATGATTACTGTGAGAGGGTCTAGCCCACCTGAGTTGCATAAGAAAGCAAGCTGAAATGCTGGATGTGATGGCACACGCTTATAATTCCAGCACTCTGGGAGGCAGAGGCAGGCAGATCATTGTGAGTTTTCAAGGCCAGCCTGGTCTACAGGATAGCCAAGGATACACAGAGAAACCCTCTCTCAAAAAAAAGAGAGAGAGAGAGAAAGAGAAAAGAAAAAGAAAACAAAGAAAGAAACATAAAAAACCAACAACACCAAAAGAAAGCAGGCGGAGCAGAGCCAGTAAGATTTCTCCACAGCCTTTGCTTTCAGTTCCTGCCTGTAGGTTCCTGTCTTGGCTTTCCTCAATGACACGGAAGCATAGGTCGAATGAGCTCCTTCTTCCTCAAGTTGGTTTTGTTCAGGGTTTTGTTACAGCAAGAGAAAAGCAAACTAGGACATCCACGTAGGTATATGCGCACAAGTGCGTGCGTGCGTGAGTGTGCACATAGCACACACACAGAGTATCCGCCAAGGAAGGAAGGAAGCCACAGCTGTGCAGAGAGACAAAGCTGAGAGCTCTCTGGTCCCCAGAAAGGGCTCTCTGTCCCCAGCATCTTGGGAGTCTCATCTGTGAGGGCTTCTGTACTGATAATGTGTCCTCTGTCTGCTAGCTTTGGTGGGATTCTCCTGGAAACCCTCCCCCATCAATGCCACTCTGTCACTCTGGACTGGCTTCTGGAATGTGACTATTCATCAGCAGGAAGTCCCTCAGAGGGGCCGTTGAGAGAAGCTTTTCCTGATGACATGAGGAAGTTGCTCACCTTTTGCCCGGGAGCGCCAATGGGACCCTGAGGGCCTGGAATTCCCTGGAATGTAAAAAGAGAGTGAAGGAGCCATGAGGAGAGAGATGGATGGTAAAACTGGGCAAGGGAGGACTGTGGCTCAGCTGACCACCGCACCCCCTGTCAGGACAGAGGCTCGAACCTGGGAGCCGTGGTTTCCTTGCTGCCCTGGGGGACCCGGTTCTCCAGGAGGACCCTGTAGAGAAAGGAGTGGGTTCAGCGAAGCCGGGAGTCGGGATGTGGGGGGTAAGGAGAGTAGGCGAGGCTGTGGACGATGGTGGGCTGGGAGCGTCAGGAGACGCAGAGCACAGTGGGACACTCACCACGTTGCCTTTGGCACCTGGTGCTCCGTCACTCCCAGTCACACCCTGTGAGGACAGAGGATGTGAGGCCAGGACAGCTCGGGATCTGGGTGCGAGCTGCCGGGAAATGTGTAGGAAAGGAAACACCAGCCACGGAAAGCATATTCCAGCCAGGGACATGCTCAGGGGGAAAGGCACTTGCTGCACAAGCATGAAGGTCTGAGTTCGAATCCCCAGAACCCATGCAAAAGCCTAACCGGTGGCATTAGCACTTGTAATCCCCTATAGGGAGCTAAGAAGCTTGCAGGCCAGCTAGCCCCAGAGACAGAGTGAAAAAACAACAGAAAAACCCTCAATTAAAACCAGCACTTGGAAGGCAGAGGCAGGGAAAAGAGTTCTGGGCCAGCCTAGCCTACAGAATGAATTCCAGGACAGCCAGGGCTACGCAGAGAAACTCTGTCTCAAAAAACAAACAAATACAAAACTGTCAAGCAAGGTAGAAGAGCAACTCCCACAAGTGCACCCTGGCTTCCACATCCTGCTCGCACTGTTGGTGCAGGCATCACATCCACACAAAGCCAGGAGAAGAGGGAGCAAGCCCGCAAGGAGGCAGTGGGTAACAGCACGTACTGCTAAGCCTCACGACCTCAGTTTGATTCCAGGGACCCACATGGTGAAAGGAGAAAGACTAATCTACACGTGTGGGACGGACACACACACACACACACACACACACACATTGAGGGGGGCAGGGCTTGCAAGAGGAAGACAGGTAAGGATAAAACGCAAACAGGGAGCCAATGAGATTCTTACCGGGCGTCCCAGGGGGCCAGGGAGGCCTCTGGGGCCAATCAGACCTCGGGGACCCTGCGTGGAAGGGGCCATACAATCCCAGCATCAGAGGTGTAGACTCTTGCAAGATTCATGGCCCAAAGGGATTTTTTCCCTTTCCCTCAACAAGGAGTCTCCCAATACTTACTGGCTCTCCAGCCTGGCCAGTGGGCCCTGGAGGTCCCTGCAGGCCCTGTGAAAGATGTCATCGTTATTTGGAGTGAGGAAGTACAGTCCATGGGCTACAACCCTGTTCAAGTCAGCCTGGTCTCTCCATGCACCTGTACTGAGCTCATGGACCCCAGGCCTCAACTTACCACCCCACATTCCTAACCCCACAGGTGGCTTTCAGCTCCAGGGCTGTCTTTTAGAGGTCTCTGGTGCCTCCTGCTCCCTCCAGTGCAGAACCCGCTCCCTGGATAGCATTCAGCCTGTTTCTGGGTTTTTGTTTTGTTGGTTTTTTTTTTTTTTTTTCTCAATGTTAGGAATAGAAGCCAGGGCTTCATACATGATAAGCAAATGCTCCACCCCTGAGCCATGCCCTCGGCCTCTCCCTGAAGGATTCTCTGCAGGGGCTCTACTGCTTGAGCTACTCTCCAGCAAGCTGAGGCATTCAGGCAGGAGCTTTTCTGCTGACCCACAGCCCTGTTTCTCTGGTTTCCGAACCTCCAAGCCAACCTCATTCCTGTACCACCCTCCAACGTACCTTTTCACCATCCTCTCCTGGAGGACCAGGTTGCCCTACACGTCCAAAGTCACCCTGGACCAGAGGAGGAAGAGGACATTTGAATAGATTAGCATATGCAGGAACCACTCACTTCAGAAAGGAAGCTCTCTGCTGCAGGGACATGAGGGCTCAGACAGTGTATGAGGTGCTGATGTTAACGCAGCACTGGACACTGAGACCAGGGCGTGGGTATAGGAAGGTAACTCACCCTCTGGCCCTTCTCACCAGGCAGCCCTGGCAGGCCATCAAAGCCCCGGTCACCCTGTTGGAAGACACAGCAGCTGCCTTAAGCTCTTGACCTTGACAGTATCCACCCACATCCAGTCCCGGCCCCCAGCACCCACCTTAGGTCCTGTGTCTCCCGGGAGACCCCGAGCTCCATCTGCTCCAGCTCGGCCCTATCAAGAAAGTGAAGCTAAAGTCAAGGACGCACTTTCCAGAGCTCTTACCTCTAAAGGTCACACTGCCTTTTACGACTCCTCTCCCAAGCGCTGATTTCTTAATGTTTGTCTTTTTATTGAGACAGGGTCTCACTGTGTAGGCCTGGTTGGCCTGGTACTCACTATGTATGCTAGGATTCCAGGCCTGCCCAGCAATCTACCTGGCTCTGACTCCTAAGTGCTGGGATTAAAGTCACATGCTACCATACCAGACTAATGTTTTAATTTAAAAGTATTTAGTGTGTCTGTTTGCAAGTGTGTGTGTATGTGTGTTTGCATGTGTGTGTGTGTTTGTGTGTGTGTGTGTGTATGCCATGGCACACATGTGGAGGTCAACTTGTGGAAGTGAGTTCTCCTCTTCCATCAGATGAGTCTTGGGACTAAACTCAGGTCACCAGGCTTGACAGCAGGCACTTCACTCTTTGCAGAAGGGCGACCTTGAATTTCTAATTCTCCTGTCTCCTCTCCCAAGTTCTAGGTTTGCAGGCACGCACTGGCATGTGCAGCTTCAGGATTCTTTTTCATATGTTGTGCTGCTTAGGTTGTTCTTTATCTGCTCCTGACTACGCTTCAGATCCCAGGCCAAGCATTACCCCCCTTCTCAAGTCCCCCTGCAGCTGTGACCCCCCGCCACGTCCCCTCATCCACTGCCACCTTCAATGCTCAGGTCCCTCTGACAACACAAGACCAGAGGGAGCAAAGCCAGTGCTGGTGGTGAGCGAAGCATAGCTTAAGAACCTAGAAGTTACGCACTGCCTTGCCTTCCCGGCCAGGAGGCCCAGGAGGGCCCTGCAATCCTCGGGGACCCTATGGGGAGAAACAAGAAGGAGGAATTAAAAGGGAAAGTTTATGCTTGTGTGTGTTGGGGGGGGTCTTACCATATGACTCCGGCTGGCCTAGATCTTAATAAA